AGAAAGAAAGAAAGAAAGAAAGAAAGAAAGAAAGAAAGAAAGAAAGAGGAAAGAAGGAAGGAAAGAAAGAAGACAAAATGCTGATGAGGAATAGTGATGGTGGAGAGAAAGGAGGCTAGTTGCTGGATATAAGCAAAAGCTGGAGTTGATGGATTGGATGAGCAAAGAGTTAAGATGGCGTGTAAGGGTCAGGATCTGACCTGCGTGCTATGAGAAGGTAGTGAGCCTTCGCTGAGTCAGAAAGCCTTTGGAGTCAGCACACAGGACAGTGAGGGTGAAAGCAATATTTCAATTTTGGTGTCTGTCTTAGCTGTTCTTGTCCCATGTCCATGTGGGGTCCCTGATTACCCCCTGAATAAATGAGTTGGCTATTCAGGGGAAAAAGCCCAACTGTGGGTATAAATGTGGAAATAAAGACCTGGGTAAGGTCACTAGGAGGGGGTGTCCAGAGAGGAAAAGCTCTGAGGACTGAATACAGCAAAGGACTGAGAATAAATATGCTTGACACAAAAGGAAAACCAACAGCAAAAGGTGTCCTGGAAGCCAGCAGTGTCCGAGAGGAAGCAGACATTCTGGAGACCTGCAGTGAGGGAACGATGGACTTGCCTCCCCATCTATTGGATGACTGATGGATCTAGGCATGAGGGCCACCAGGAAGGAAAGCAGTGTGATGGTCAGTGGTCAGGTGACCAGTGACACACGCCCGCATATGTCTGTAAGAGTGTTTCCAGAGATGATTGATGTGTGTGATAACAATGGAGCAAGGACAGATCCTCATGAATGTAGGTGGCTCCATCTTAATAAACTAGAGACCTGGAGGGATCCAAATCGGGAGAGGGAAGCCCTCATGGCATGCAAACTTGACTCCTCCTCCCCTGCAAGTCCATCTTGCTTCTATCATTACCAACAGACATCAGGTCCCAGGGGCTTCAACCTGTCAACATGACTCACACCAGCAGCCCTCTAGGGAGCCTCCAGGCTGTTAACCTTAAACTTGGGCTGCATCTTTGAGCCCCTTGTTCTGAGGCTTCCCGCTTCATAGACACAGAAGTCAGACACAGATGGCCAGGTCATCTGGTTCCCAGTGTGCAGATGGTCATTGTTGAGTCACTCAGCTTCCCATGATGTCTGACAGACACTAAGGATGTCTGTCCAACCTTTTGGCACTGTAGCCTGACATTGTCGTCTATAAAGTTCACACTCAAGAGCTGAACAATCGAATTACCAAAAAAACAAAACAAAACAAAACAAAAACAATTTACAACTATAAACATCCCCTGTCATGCCTGGGCCACTGTAAGCCATACACCCGACGAGCTTTCTCACCTTATATTTTCATAAGACTTTCACAATCAAACTTTCTGGCTGAGAGACAGAAGCAAAATGGTCCCATTCCCTAATGGATTCGGATTAAAACTAATAGAAAAATAGGGGCCAGCTCCAAGGTAAGACACTGGAGTAGAGCCACACATAATTGCTCAAAGTTCATGGACAGTGACACAGCTCTTTGTGCTGA